GGCGGGACCGTGGGACGGTCCCCAATACCACATCGCCCCCCCTTGGGCGTTCTACCTGCAGACGGCCTTCATGGGGTTCGTGTTCCTGGTGGGGACCCCCCTGAACGCCATCGTCCTCGTTGTTACCGTCAAGTACAAGAAGCTGCGGCAGCCGCTCAACTACATCCTGGTGAACATCTCCTTCAGCGGCTTCATCTTCTGCACCTTCAGCGTCTTCACTGTCTTCGTCTCCAGCTCCCAGGGCTACTTCGTCTTCGGCAAGCACGTCTGTGCTATGGAGGCCTTCGTGGGGGCCACCGCAGGTATGGGGGGGACCACCGTGGGATGGGGGGGCTGCAGGAGTTGGGGTGACCACCGTGGGTTGGTGGGGTTGTAGGTACAGGGGACCACCATGATGTGGTGGGGCTGCAGGACTTGGGGGGAACACCATGGGCTGGTGGGACCGTAGGATTTGGGATGACCATCATGGTCTGCTAGAACTTTAGGACTGGGGGTGACCACCATGGTCTGGTGGGGATGTAAGAGTTGGGGTGACCACCATGGGTTGGTGGGATTGTGGGTACAGCTGACCACCGTGCTGTGGTGGGGCTGCAGGACTTGGGGTGACCACCATGGTCTGGTGGGGATGTAAGAGTTGGGGTGACCACCATGGGTTGGTGGGGTTGTAGGTACAGCTGACCACCGTGCTGTGGTGGGGCTGCAGGACTTGGGGTGACCACCATAGGCTGGTGGGGCTGTAGGAGTTGGGGTGACCACCATGGTTTGTGGTGGGGTTGTACATGGAGGTGACCACCGTGGTCAGGTAGAGCCGCAGAAGTGGGGGTGACCAGCATGGTTTGGTGGGACTCTAAGTAGGGCTGATCGCTGTGGTATCGTGGGGGTGTAGGTGTTGGGGTGACCACTGTGGACCAGTGGGGCAGCAGGTAGGGGTGACCACCGTGAGCCCTGGTGGGGCTGTAGAAGCTGGGCCAACTGCCATGGTCTGGTGGGGCTGTAAGAGTTGGGGTGACCACCATGGTCTGGTGGGGGCTGTAGGAGTTGGGGTGACTGCCATGGTCCAGTGGTTCTGTAGGAACTGGGGTGACCACCGTGGTTTGTTGGGCTGTAGGAGCTGGGGTGACCACCATGGTCTGGGGGGGGCTGTAGATAGGGTTGTCCACTGTGCTGTGGTGGGGAGGTAAGAGTTGGGGTGACCACCATGGTCTGGGGGGGCTGTAGGAGTTGGGTTGATCGCCGTGGTCTAGTGGGGTTGTGGGTGGAGGTGACCACCATGGTCTGGCAGAGCTTCAGAAGTGGGGGTGACTCCCATGGCTTGGTGGGACTTCAGGTAGAGTTGACCACCATGGGCTGGTGGGGTTGTAGGTACGGGTGACCACCATGGGCTGATGGGACTGTAGGACTTGGGGTGACCATCTTGGTCTGGTAGAACTGTAGAAGTGGGGGTGACCACCATGGTCTGATGGGGCTGTAAGAGTTGGGGTTACCACCATGGTCTGGTGGGGATGTAAGAGTTGGGGTGACCACCATGGGCTGGTGGAACTGTAGGACTGGGGGTGACCACTGTGGTCTGACAGGGCTGCAGTAGGGTTGACCACCATGCTGTGGTGGGGTTGTGAGTGGAGGTGACCACGGTGGGCTGGTAGAGCTGCAGAAGTGGGGGTGACCACCATGGTTTGGTGGGGCTTCAGGTGGGGTTGGCAGCCACGGTCTGGTGGAGCCATGGGGATGGTGGGCTGATGTCCCCGCGGTGTCCCCCAGGGCTGGTGACGGGGTGGTCCCTGGCGTTCCTGGCGTTCGAGCGCTACATCGTCATCTGCAAACCCTTCGGGAACTTCCGCTTCAACTCCAAGCATGCCATCATGGTGGTGGTGGCCACCTGGGTCATCGGCGTGGGCGTGGCCGTGCCCCCCTTCTTCGGCTGGAGCAGGTGGGGGCGTGGGGGACACCTCCAGGAGTGGTGGGACAGGGGGCCATGGGGGGCCAT